TACACTTCACCTTCTCTGGGACTCAGCTTCACATTTATGCTGGAATCAAAGCAGAGTTACTGAGTCAGATCAGGTGATCATGCTGTAGAGGCACAAACTCTTGCTGTGAGTACCTATGAACCCAACCAATCACAGCCTTGGAGAGAGGAGGCATCAGGGGCCGATTTTACTCCCCCCCCCCCCTCCCCCTGGCAGCACCAACAACAGCAGTCCTTTTTCTTTTCTCCATGTTTAACAAAGATCGCTCCATGATCTGGAATGGTGTCATATTACTCTTATGAATACAATAATCTGCTGACTTTGCTGCTACTAATCACACCACTGTCACTCAGCTTGAGATGGTTTTGCACAGTTGCTCAGTTCATGTTAGTTAGTTAGTTAGTTAGTTGCTAGTTGTGGGTACTGTATGTGAACTGCTGGTGCTGTAAGTTTGAGTTTTCAGTAGAATTACATAGCTTTTGTTTTATTTTATTTTGTTTGATATAATGTATATAATGTATCTATTTAGTTTTTCTATTTATATCTGCTTCTATCTATAACTGTGTTTATGAATGACTTACTAATGTGTATTAATGTATGAACAATGCTTTATAAATTATGAATTCCGTATTTACTAATACTTAACTAATGCTTTATAGTGTAGTTATTATAAAGTGCTACCAAAATTTGTTATAGAGCTTCCATTTCAACACACGGTATTTGTCTCCATCTTGTGGCTGACTTGTAGTTCTGACACCTACAAGCCTCCCAGCAGTCTTTAGCTGTCAGATTGAGAAATAAATACAGAAATAAATAAATGCTCAATAAATAAATAACCATCTGATTAAATGCACAAGAAAATACAGTAAATAAATAAATGTAGGCAGTAATTAAATTATACAGTGAGATATAAATAAATATATCTCTTTTAATTTGCTTCTTTATTTATTCAGCTTTGCATTAATTATCTTATTTATTTATTGTCTGTTATAATCTTCAACTTTATTTATTAATTACTTTAAATAAAATAATTACTTTTTTAAATGTATTTGTTTATGTGTATGATTTAATATTTTTGTTCTTCATTAGAAGAATATTATTCTTCCTTTGCATTTCTCCGCTATTTATTTCCTCAATGGTATTTATTCCTGACTCCCCTTTTTACATTTCTCTATGCATTTCTGCCTTCCGCAAATGAGGAGGGGCTGTGGCTCAAGGCGTCAACTTCTTGCCTATTGGTGGATCAGTCACAACGAGTTGAGTGGACCCTCTGACCTACAGTGTTGTCAGATAGGGTATAGAAGTATAAAATATGTTACATGTGTTTATTAAAAGTGAAAAAAACACTAAACCTTTAGGGAAAATACTTCATTCTTTAATTGTGGTTTCCTGGAAAAACATGAAAATATTCCTGAAAATGACTAGGCTATCACATTTTGCGTTCAGGATAACTCTTTTTTACTGTATCGATTTTGGGATTGAAATACTGCAGTTGTACATTGAAATAACTTCCTTTCTGATATGAAGTCTTCTTGAGGTGTTGTAAAAACACATTTCTCCTTAATTTCTGATTTGGGTTGTGGACAACTACAACATAAATTCAAAAAATGGTGGATGAGTCACAGTGGGGGATTGAACCCGGGTCTCTCACAACAAAAGCATGCATCTTATCCATTGGGCCATCCCCATCACCAGCCCTGTTGAGCTACACCCCAGATACATCTTGAAATTAGTTGTCAATGTCTACAATGAATGAACATTCAATAGTGATCATCATCAATGGGTTGGCGTTTATCAGTTCACCCTCAGACACATTTGGATGTAAAGGCAACTATCCATCCATCCATCAATCCATCCATCTTCATCCGCTTATCCGGGACCGGGTCGCGGGGGGAGCCGCTCCAGCAGGGAACCCCAAACTTCTCTTTCCCGAGCCACGTTAACCAGCTCTGACTGGGGGATCCCGAGGCGTTCCCAGGCCAGTGTGGAGATATAATCTCCCCACCTAGTCCTGGGTCTTCCCCGAGGCCTCCTCCCAGCTGGACGTGCCTGGAACAACTCCCTTGGGTGGCGTCCAGGAGGCATCCTTACCAGATGCCCAAACCACCTCAACTGGCTCCTTTCAACGCGAAGGAGCGGCGGCTCTACTCTGAGCTCCTCGCGGATGGCCGGGCTTCTCACCCTATCTCTAAGGGAGACACCAGCCACCCGCCTGAGGAAACCCATTTCGGCCGCTTGTACCCGCGATCTCGTTCTTTCGGTCATGACCCAGCCTTCATGACCATAAGTGAGGGTCGGACCGGTAGATCGAGAGCTTTGCCTTACGGCTCAGCTCTCTTTTCGCCACAACGGTGCGATAAAGCGAGTGCATTACCGCCCCCGCTGCTCCGATTCTCCGGCCAATCTCCCGCTCCAGTCTCCCCTCACTCGTGAACAAGACCCCGAGGTACTTGAACTCCTTCACTTGGGTTAAGGACTACCTAGAGTTGGCACTCCACCAGTTTCCTGCTGAGAACCATGGCCACAGATTTAGAGGTGCTAATCCTCATCCCAACCGCTTCGCACTCGGCTGCAAACCGATCCAGTGAGAGCTGAAGGTCACGGACCGATGATGCCATCAGGACCACATCATCCGCAAAAAGCAGTGACGAGATCCCAAGCCCCCCGAACTGCAGCCCCTCCTCGCCACGACTACGCCTCGATACCCTGTCCATGAATATCACAAACAGGATAGGTGACAAAGCGCAGCCCTGGCGAAGGCCAACCCTCACCTGGAAAGAGTCTGACTTACTGCCGAGTACTCGGACACAGCTCTCGCTTTGGATGTACAGGGATTGGATAGCCCTGAGAAGGGCCCCCCTCACCCCATAATCCCGCAGCACCTCCCACTGTATCTCCCGGGGGACCCGGTCATACGCCTAGGCTGAGAAGTGTGATACCCCTGTAATTGGCACACACTCTCTGGTCCCCCTTTTTGAACAGGTTAACCACCACCCCAGTCTGCCACTCCTTGGGCACTGTACCTGACTTCCACGCAATGTTAAAGAGACAAGTCATCCAAGACAGCCCCTCCACACCCAAAGCTTTTAGCATTTCTGGGCGGATCTCATCAATCCCTGGGGCTTTGCCACTGTGGAGTTGTTTGACTACCTCAGTGACGTCCTCCAGGGAAATTGACGAGAATCCCCCATCAGCCTCGAGCTCTGCCTCTACTAAAGAGGGCGTGTCAGTCGGATATAGGAGTTCCTCAAAGTGTTCCTTCCACCGCCAAATTACCTCCCCAGTTGAGGTCAGCAGGGTCCCATCCTTACTGTACACAGCTTGGACGGTTCCCCGCTTCCCCCTCCTGAGATGGCGGACAGTTCTCCAGAAACACTTTGGTGCCGACTGAAAGTCCTTCTCCATGTCTTCTCCGAACTTCTCCCACACCCGCTGCTTTCCATCTGCCACAGCAGAGGCTGCAGTCCTTTGGGCCCGTCGGTACCTTGCAACCGCCTCCGGAGTCCTCCGAGACAACAAATCTCGGAAGGCCTCCTTCTTCAGTCGGACGGCTTCCCTGACCACCGGTGTCCACCACGGTGTTCGAGGGTTACCGCCCCTTGAGGCACCTAAAACCTTGAGACCACAGCTTTCCGCTGCAGCTTCAGCAATAGAGGTTTTGAACATTGCCCACTCCTGTTCAATGTCCCCAACCTCCACAGGGATGCCAGAAAAGCTCCGCCGGAGGTTTGAGTTGAAGATCTCACGTACAGGGGCCTCCTCCAGACGTTCCCAGTTCACCCACACTACCTGTTTGGGCTTACCAGATCTTCCCCCACCCCCTGACCCAACTCACCACCAGATGGTGATCAGTTGACAGCTCTGCCCCTCTCTTGACCCGAGTGTCCGAAACATGCGGCCTCAAATCAGATGAAACGATTACAAAATCAATCATTGATCTTCGGCCTAGGGTGCTCTGGTACCATGTACACTTATGAGTATCCTTATGCTCGAACATGGTGCTCGTTATAGACAATCCATGACAACAAACAACAAACACCCACTCGGGTTCAGATCAGGGGGGCGGTTCCTCCCAATCACGCCTTTCCAGGTATCTCCATCATTGCCCACATGCGTGTTGAAGTCTCCCAGCAGAACTATGGAGTCCCCTACTGGAGCCCCATACAGAACTCCATTCAGGGTCTCCAAGAAGGCCGAATACTCTAAACTGCTATTTGGTGCATATGCTAAAACAAGTTTTCCCCCCCAGTACCCGAAGGCGTAGGGAGGCGACCCTCTCGTTCACCGGAGTAAACTCCAACGTAGTGGTGCTCGGCCGGGGACTTGTGAGTATCCCCACACCCACCTTGCGCATCACACCTTGAGCAACTCCAGAGAAGAATAGTGTCCATCCCCTATCAAGGAGTACGGTTCCAGAACCGAGACTGTGCGTGGAGGTCAGTCCCACCAGATCTAATTGGTAGCGCTCCATCTCCCAAACAAGTTCCGACTCCTTCCCCCACAGAGAGGTGATGTTCCACGTCCCCAGAGCCAGCCTCTGCCTCCCGGGTCTGGTCCGTCGGGGTCCCTAACCTTCACTGCCACCCATGTGGCAGCGCACCCGACCCCTGCGGATATATATATATATATATATATATTATCCATCTTCCGATGGATGGTGGGTCCAAAGGATGGAGAGGGGGGTGTCACGTTGCTTCTTCGGGCTGAGCCCGGCCGGGCTCCGTGGCAAACCCGGCCACCAGGCGCTCGCCGACGAGCCCTCCCTCTGGGCCTGGCTCCAGACGGGGGCCCCGGGCTTCTTCTGGACATGGTCTCTCCTCCTCTTCCTCGATTTGTCATTAAGGGTCTTTGTGAACCATTCTCAGTCTAGCCCCTTACCTGGAACCACTTTGCCTTGGGAGACCCTACCAGGAGCACTAGGCTCCCGACAACACAGCCTCCAGGTTCACCGGGGCACACAAACCTCTCCACCACGATAAGGTGATGGTTCCCGGAGAGTAAAGGCAACTAATTTAGCATTAATGAAAACTAAACGGACTGACATCATCAGATTCAGCTGTCACATACATTATTTTAGATACAGCAAATCCAGAATAAGGAACACCACCGCTGAGGATCTTCAGGTGAACTTGCCTGTCTTCAGGATTTGGAGATAAAGTTGACGAACAGCCAGGTCCAGTTTTCGGTCCTCTGGGCAGTCGAATATTTCAGGCTTCACTAAGTCTCTTAAAAATCATCTTAATTTGTTCAGAACAAAAGAAAATGACTTTCAAATTTCAAACTTTAAAATCAGATGATCTGTGAATCATCAAAAGATCTGCAGCTTCTAAACACAAATTTCACATTTGATACTGATTTCTTTTTTAAAAAATTATTATTATTTAAATCAAATTTTTAAATTTTTTGTCTATGTCTATTTCATTGATTTATTTATTTAAAATTTTAATATATTATTATAATAACACACACGTTAACTTTTCATTGATTTATTTATTAAATTTTCTAATATATTATTATAATAACACACACAAGTTACCTTTTCATTGATTTATTTATTAAATTTTCTAATATATTATTATACTAACACACACACGTTACCTTTTCATTGATTTATTTATTAAATTTTCTAATATATTATTATAATAACACACACACGTTACCTTTTCATTGATTTATTTAAATTTTTAATATATTATTATAATAACACACACACGTTACCTTTTCATTGATTTATTTATTAAATTTTCTAATATATTATTATAATAACACACACACGTTACCTTTTCATTGATTTATTTATTAAAGTTTCTAATATATTATTATAATAACACACACACGTTACCTTTTCATTGATTTATTTAAATTTTTAATATATTATTATAATAACACACACACGTTACCTTTTCATTGATTTATTTATTAAATTTTCTAATATATTATTATAATAACACACACACGTTACCTTTTCATTGATTTATTTAAATTTAACTTTATTTTTATCATTTTTATCAGGCTCTTTTCAGTGTTCAGTTCAGGGATTATTTCACGCTCGGACATTTGGTCCATTTTGAATAGTTTACACAATAAATGCCTTAAAGTGTGCAGATCGCCCTTAATTTCATTAACAAACACTGAATCTGGAAATGAAACAAATGAAGAACATGTGATGTAGTTTTGTTTGTTTATTACCTTAAATCCTTCAGTAAACACCATGACATATGAGAATTCATTCATTTATACATTCATTCATCCTGAAGTTGGGATGCACCCCTGAAGTTCCACATAATAAACAATAACTGAAAGAGTCATGTTCTTATAAATAAATAAATACAATAAATATTTCTAAATTAAACTCTTAAAATAGCACGGTCTAGAAATACTACGTTAACCTGCATCCTGTATTAGCATCAAAATATACTTACTTCCCACCAGTAAAAGTACTCATTATGCAGAATGGGTCATTTCAGAATAATATATATAAATGAATTATAATTATTAACTCATTCATGTGTTCATCACCTTAATGTTCCAGCTGGTAAAGGTTGTTACATGCTGCTGGACAGCTCAATCTGTAATAACACTTAAAATAACCATTTGGAGTCCAATATTTCCCTCTGAGAAGTACTGCAACAAAGCATGACATGGAAACACTGAAGTACAAGTACCTTAAAACTTTACTTATGTACATGTGGACATGTGAGTGTTGTTTTAACTCACAGTTTAAAGGTGCAGCTGGTCACCTGTCCATCATCACTGCCTCACAGACCTCAGATCTGCTTCATCATCATGAAGATCCGTCCTGTGCAGTAGTTCTCCAGGACCAACACACAGCAGATTATCAGCAGCTGATCTCTCTTTTAACACCAGGACAGGAACTTCAGCTGGCAGAGGATCCTACTGCTACAACAACTCGCTCTGCAGACAGTAGACACTGATGATAGGCTTTGATTCACAATACAGGACTGCAGCTCCTGCATCACTGTGTATTTAGTTTCATTTATTCCAACAAAGCGTGTTTCGGGCAAATCTGTTGGCATCACCTGCACTTTACACCAGAAGAAGAAACGATGCTTAACAGAGAAAAAAACAATCAAACATGCACAACAGCAACAAGGCTGAATGTTCAAGTTTTTTTATTGACTGATGCGATCTTATCTGTGTTTAACCTTCAGTCAAACCCAGAAGTAGTTCCTGTTCCTCTTCAGAGCAAACTCATTCCTTCTGACACAACACTATGTTTTTGTAGGATGTGATGATTGTGAAATGAATGAAATGTTTAAAGTAGAAAACAAATTTGTTTCATCTTTTAAATATGCTTTTAATACATAGGATGAAATGACTGTGAGGTGAAACTGTCTCTGGTTGTTCTGAACCACTGACTGTATAAACATTTCTAAATTAAACCAAAATCCCTTCAAATAGCACGGTCTAGAAATACTACGTTAACCTGCATCCTGTATTAGCATGAAAATATACTTACTTCCCACCAGTAAAAGTACTCATTATGCAGAATGGGTCATTTCAGAATAATATATATAAATGGATTATAATTATTAACTCATTCATGTGTTCATCACCTTAATGTTCCAGCTGGTAAAGGTTGTTACATGCTGCTGGACAGCTCAATCAGTAATAATACTTAAAATAACCATTTGGAGTCCAATATTTCCCTCTGAGAAGTACTGCAACAAAGCATGACATGGAAACACTGAAGTAAAAGTACCTTAAAACTTTACTTATGTACATGTGGACATGTGAGTGTTGTTTTAACTCACAGTTTAAAGGTGCAGCTGGTCACCTGTCCATCATCACTGCCTCACAGACCTCAGATCTGCTTCATCATCATGAAGATCCGTCCTGTGCAGTAGTTCTCCAGGACCAACACACAGCAGATTATCAGCAGCTGATCTCTCTTTTAACACCAGGACAGGAACTTCAGCTGGCAGAGGATCCTACTGCTACAACAACTCGCTCTGCAGACAGTAGACACTGATGATAGGCTTTGATTCACAATACAGGACTGCAGCTCCTGCATCACTGTGTATTTAGTTTCATTTATTCCAACAAAGCGTGTTTCGGGCAAATCTGTTGGCATCACCTGCACTTTACACCAGAAGAAGAAACGATGCTTAACAGAGAAAAAAACAATCAAACATGCACAACAGCAACAAGGCTGAATGTTCAAGTTTTTTTATTGACTGATGCGATCTTATCTGTGTTTAACCTTCAGTCAAACCCAGAAGTAGTTCCTGTTCCTCTTCAGAGCAAACTCATTCCTTCTGACACAACACTATGTTTTTGTAGGATGTGATGATTGTGAAATGAATGAAATGTTTAAAGTAGAAAACAAATTTGTTTCATCTTTTAAATATGCTTTTAATACACTGGATGAAATGACTGTGAGGTGAAACTGTCTCTGGTTGTTCTGAACCACTGACTGTATAAACATTACATACACATTTATATACAGTCTATGTTCTGATCCCAGTTATCACCAAACTCTGCAGCTCTGTGGAGCTTTAAAAAACAACACGTCTGTCCAGAAACAGAGTTACTCTGAATAATGCTCTGGGGCTCTGTGGCTGGTGTTGATAGATTTTCATTATTTCTTTAGTCTACTTAATGTGAGGTCCCTTTAAACAAGTCCTTTATATGTAAAATATATAAGATGTTATTATAACTAACAATTATTATTTTTTCCCCACTAACTGAGGCATGTCCCTTAATTACTACTGTTTTAATTATTCTTGGCTGTCAGGCAGTGGAGGTGGCAGTTATCATTTTTAAACACAACTACAAATGTTCCCATGTCTACCTTAATACCTTTTTTATTGTTGGAGTCTCTGCAATCCATGGATGTTGTTAGGCCTATTTTAGGGGGGCTGAAACCCTGATTGAACCAATCCACAGTGCAGTAACAGTAATTAGTGTAATTAAATAGTATTCTTTGGATCTCCGACTTATCTAATAGAGATATTACACATTTACATGAGCAGCTGGGTAGCATTTATGTCACAGCCTACAGAAGAACTCAGTCTGGTCTAAGTGAATTCCCCCCCTGCAGCGTTGATGTGTCTAAAAGCTAACATGATAGATAGCTATAGACTATATTTATATTTTTTACAACATTACATGGGCGTCGGAACCATTGTATGTGGGTGGGACTGTCCCACTTTTTAGGAACAATGATATTGGACCCACTCACTGAAATTCAGCGCCTCTGTTTGTTCACCTTTCAAAGAGTCGTCATGCTCACGTACTGTCATTAAAACCGCTTTTTAAGGGAAAGTTCATAATTTGTTTGCCTGATGCTTTTAAAGGCATCATGTAGTCTTTGTTGCAGCATTGAATTACAGTTACACTTACACTATGTTGTTAAAATAGTTAACAACATAACACTTATAACAGAGTTATCTGATATTTTTGCTAGGCTAGCTAGCTACAGTAATATCAACATTAATCAACCAGAGTTAGCAGCTCTTTGAATCCTGGTCAATGAGAGAAGCTAGCTGTGGTACCAGTGCCAAATCTGATTCAGAAATGGACTGGACAAACTTATTGTTTTCTCAATGTGTGTTGACTCAGCAGGGATGATATTACATGAGAAAGTTGATCTACAGGAGAAACATATCTGAAAGCAACACAGAATGACTGAGAGCTGCACTGACTGAAGTTCTGTTGAGTTTTAGATTTTGAACTGTCACCTGCCACCTGAATTTTGTGTTTCCCTTTACATAAATAAAAACATTTCACCATAAATTGGTGCAAACAAATCCCAAGAATGCAGGAAATTAAGTGTTTAATGCTCTAAATCTTCGGGGGGGAGGAACCCCCCAACTAATAGATTTCAGGATTCATGATAGAGACTCTATTGTCATTGTATACAAAATACAACAAAATGCAGTTTAGAGCAAAACATTGAACTTAGCAGCTTTAAAATAGCATATAAGTAATAAGCAATGACGATTTTTATAAAACAAAATTTATATATATATATAAATCCTGGAGGAGGACACACCCACATTTCTTTTGCTCCAGACGCCCATGTAACATTACAGCACATTTTGTTCAACAGAGGAGAAATGGAAGAACAAAGTATGTCTGTTGCTTTTTATTTGTTAACATCTTGGCTTCTTCACTGGTTGCTGACATAAGTGTAGTTCTAATACAGTAACAAAAGATGTGAGTGCAAAGATTTTGCAAGCGCAAGTTACGCATCCCCTGGGGGCTAAGCCCCCCCCTGTGTTTCAATCTTAGTGACGTCCCTGCTGCAATCTCTTTTACAGCTTTTTCACAACTCTAGACACAAAACTCACAACCGATGATCAAAATGCACATTTTTCAAAACTTTAACCCTTTTCTCAATTGCTTGGATACAATATACATAAAACTTTTTCAGACTATTTACAGTATTGACAGTACTGCACTGTATAGATGCAGGCCCTTGTAATTCAATTCAATTCAATTCAATTCAATTTTATTTATATAGCGCTAAATCACAAGACAGTTATCTCACAGCGCTTTTCATAAAAGAGCAGGTCTAGACTGTACTCTGTGATGCTATTTACAGAAGCCCAATAGTTCCCACCAAGAGCAGCACTAGGCGACAGAGGCAAGGAAAAACTTCCTTTTAAGAGGCAGAAACCTCGAGCAGAACCATGGCTCAGGGTGGGCGGCCATCTGCCTCGACCGGTTGGGGTGAAGGGGAGAGAGAGAGAGAGAGAGAGAGAGAGAGAGAGAGAGAGAGAGAGGGAGGGATGTAAGGAGAGAGAAAGGGGAGGGAGGCAGCCTACACAATATACACACAGAGGTACACACAGTGAAGGTGATGTTGCTATAGACTAAATGAAAAATGGTACAGATATTTATAGTAGTGTTAATGGTAACAGTCGTAATGTTAATGATTATAATAACAATAGGACTAGTAACAATAGTCGTTGCAGCAGAGGGTGTCGAGCAGGAACACGGGGGCAGCAGGTGACCCGCAGCCACAGATTCAGACTCCACAGCTCCAGAGCCAGAAACATCTGCAGGAAGTGATAGGAGGAGAGAGGAGAGGGACGAGAAAGCACAAGACTACCAGAAAGGGGAGAAGTTGTGTTAGTAACATGCAATAATGGGATGAGGTTGCATACAGAGGGAGAGAAAGTAGAGGAGAGAGGAGCTCAGTGCATCATGGGAAATTGCTTGTCCAATTCTGCCAACTCGTTCCTGATGATTGAGTGCACATTGTGGAATGAGTATATAAAGAGTTGATTGGGATCCAATTGCAAGAGCATAGTGATACGTAACAGGGAGCCAGCAGGTGATACAGGTCACAGTGGAGGTCAAGCAGTGGTGGGAGGAAGACGAGGAAGACGTGTTGGTCAAAGGAATGGCAGGGGACAGGCACCCCTTCTGAGAGGTGGTTGTGGGCCTCGTTTGAGAGGTGTGGCGGGACGCAGACCTCATATTGGACCATATAATGCAGCTCTCCTTGTCACCTTTCTTGATGAGCTCCATCAGGTTTGTAGAGCTTCCCTTCCTTAACCCGATTGAGGAATTTTTCTCCGCATGGAAATGGAAGGTTCATGACAGGCACCCTCATGAACAAGTCACTCTTCTCCAGGCCATGGATGACGCCTGCAATGACATCACAGCCTGGTTTCGCCATGCCCGAAGGTTTTTTCCAAAATGTTTGGCTAATGAAAACATCCATTGTGATGTAGATGAGAACCTGTGGCCAAATCCAACACACAGTGTTAATGACAACGTAGAAGTACAGTAATCACTCCTGTTTTGTTTCTTATAGTACAAGCAAGTAAGTTGAGGAACACTTGCTTGCTTGTATTTTGTTTTCTATTTCATAGAAATCATCAATTATTTTTGTTTTGATTCAAATAAACCTATGTTGTTATTGTACTGTAGTGTCTTGCATCAATATATTACAAACTTTGTTCAATGATTCCACTGTGTCTGTAGTATTCTCTCTACTACTGCAGTACTTTTACAGAGATGTATTTACTGTACATGTAGTACCATAATGAAACCTGTATCACCTATTTTGTTCTACAATATTTAATGATTGTATGAACAATGACACAGTGCTTGTGTGTGGGTGATCTATAGTTATGTTTCAATGGTATTTCACAGTAAATTTAAAAGTCAAGACGTTTCGTCCCTCATCCAAAGGACTTCTCCAAAGGATCTCCTTTGGATGAGGGACGAAACGTCTTCCAGTATCTTCAACCAAGTCCAGTTGCCCTTGAGTTTAACCTTCGTTGGATAACTATGACCTGGATGACTGAGAATCTTCATAGACAGCTGTTACTTTGGTTATACAAGGACTGGATGGCTCGTACCTGGTCCACTGTTCCACAGCCAGGACAGAATCTACATTCCTCAGCCAAACAATGTCCAAAGCCTTTAGCATCTCAGTCCAAATCTCATCCACAAACCAGCGTTTTGCCGCCAAGAAGTTGCTTGACTCCCTCTACCAGGAATATGGTACCAACTTCCTGGCGTCTTCAGACTTTGCCTCCTCCCCAGAGGACGTGTTGGTCGGGTTAAGGAGCTCCTCAAACTGCTCTTTCATCGCTTAACAATATCTCGAGTCGAGGTCAGCAGTTCTCATTCATCCCCGGCTGAGCACAGCCTGAGCCAAGCCCTGTTTTTGCTTCCTGAGTCGTCGAATGGCAGGCCAGAACTTTCTTGAGGCCAGTCGAAAGGCCTCCTTCTTCTGCTTGGCGGCTTCCTTCCCCGCTGGGGTCAACCATCAGGTTCTTAGATTGCTGCTGACAGGAAGCCACCTTTACAATGGAGACTTTGAACAAGGCGCACTTTCCATGTCCTCAGCTTCACCTGGGATGCGTGAGTCAAGGCCTGGCCATCAGATGCTCGTCGGCGGGTCCCCTCTAACGGCTGTAGGACGGCGCTCAGGTTTCCCTTTTCTGGGCAAGTTGCTACAGCTCCTTCTCGTCCAATTCATGTAGGG